AGGCGCCGTGCGTGCCGAGCCAGCGAGCCGGCGCCCACCCCAGCCGTGTCCCTGCTCGGCTGGGGAGCCCTGAGATCCCTAGCAAGATCGCTAACCCTGCGCCTCCCTCTCCTTGAGTGGAAAACCCCGTCTGCCCTCAAGGGTTGTTATGAAGCCCGGAAAAAGAAGGAAGAGAATGTAAAATGCCGATGCCTGGCCCTGGGTCAGTGCTCAGAGAATGTTAGCTGTTTTTTTGTTTTTTGGCAAGCTAGAAAGCACTGCAGCAGTGCAAGGGATTGTTACTCTTGAACTTGTAACCACTTTGGAAGGGGAGTTGGAGAAGGGACCTGGCTGACTGTCCTTTTGTGGAGATGGAGTTTTGGGGCTGGTGGGCAGCCAGACCTGAAATTTCTCCTTGTGTTGTAATGTCCTTATTACATAAACTCTGGTAGTCCCTCCTCCGCGGATACGGCCACCTTCTGCCAGTTTAACAGGCAACACACTCCCTCCCGAGAGAATTCTACAAAAGCCTCGATTCAGTCAAGCAAAAGATTCAAGAGAACCTCAGTCGGAGAGACCTGCCTCATCACGCCTGGATGTGACTCCAAACTCCCACTCCCCTCAGCAGAAGAGCCACAGGAGGAGGCAAAGCAAGGGAGAAAGGGCCTGTACGCTGCCAGAGCATGCAAAAGGGTTAACAAGAACAAGACTTGGGGGAAGAGGGGAGATGAACTCCCAAGCTTCATCCACTCAGGAGCAAGGAAAGGGAAGAGAAAGTGGCTACTTGCCATTGTTCTTAACGGCAAAGATGGAGCTGCAAGCCCCTGGCAAGGAAGGGAGGGGGAGGAAGCTTTTATAGGACAACAAAAAACAGCTGAAAGCTCTGTTTCTTGTCATCCTAGCCTTGTTTGGGAAATAGGGGGCTTTACCCATTCTGCTTCATTAAGTTGCTGCAGAAAGGAAAGATTGTAATCTCACCTCCAGATCCATAGGCTTCAGCCAGGAGCATGTTGCTGATGAGGAATGTTTGCACCCAGGCCAACAGCATCCTCGCCTCTTTCTTCCTGCAGGTGATTTACCAACCAGTGTCCAAATGAGGTCTCCTCAGCGGCAGCTCTACCTCCTGGTCCCAGCCTTGCAGTCAGACCTGCCCTTACTCTTCTGGTAAACAGCCTCTCTTTAGAACTGGGAGCTTCCCAGCTAGCTTGCTGCAGCGCGAGGTGTTTTTCAGCTGAAAGGCGCCCCCTGGGTCCTAAGCCTCCTTTGCCATACAAGATCACTAACCCTGAGCCAAGAAAGGAAGTCAGCCAAGTGAAGAGAAACAAGAGGTTCAGGTTGTACCTAGCACCTGATCAGTTTGAGACCTGCAAGGCTTTTCATCCCTTCTGTTTCCCTTTGTGTGAGTACAAAAAGAATAATCTGGCAAGAGGTAACATGGGGGGAAATTATAAGCACTAAAGCACAGAATAGTTTAGGAAAGAGGTGCTGTAGCAGAATAACCAGGAGGAGTTCAAGACCACACATAGGCCACAAATCAGAGTATTTGGGTGGGAGTAACCCAGATACTAGGGGTAGGTGGCATGGTGGTTAAGGGCGCTGGACACCCACATGGTCGACCATAGTTTTATTTCCGGACCTGGTGGCTTGCTTTTTCACTTCCTCTCTTTCTCTCTCTCTCTCTCTGGTCAAATTAAAATTAATAAATAAATAAAGTTAAATAATTATTAAAAAAGAGTATCTGGGTGGAAGAAATTGGCAGGTGGCATGGTGGTTAAAGGCACTGGACTCCCACATGACTGACCACATTTGAGTCCTAGACCTGGCTGCTTGTTCTCTGTCTCTCTCTGGTCAAAATTGAAAAATAATAATAATAATTAATAAATAATTCTAAAAAATAAAATAGGGGATCATTTATTTATTTGTAAGTAAATAAAATTAAATAAAATAATTCTTAAAAATATAAATTAAAAATAAAAATGAATAGCGTGAGTTTAAGCCATCAGGTCCGGGACTCTAACCGTGGTTGACTACATGGGAGTCCAGCGACATAGCCATTACGCTAACTGCTGGTCCTGAGAATTACTTTTATTATTTAACTTTCTTTAATTTTTTCTCTTTTTCTAAGAATTATTTACTTAATTTTATTTATTCACTTATTTATTTTAATTTGACAAGAGTGAGATAGAAAGTGAGAAATAAGCCACCAAGTCTGGGACTTGAACTGTGGTCAGCCATGTGGGAGTGTCCAGTGCCTTAAGCACCACACCACCTGCTGGTCCCTCTTCATTTTAATTTAACCAGAGAGGAACAGAGTGTATGAGAGAGAGAGAGATAGAGAGAAGGAAAGTGAGAAAGGAAGCCACTAGGTCTAGGACTCGAACTGAGGTTGGCCATGTGGGAGTCCAGTGCTCTTAACCACCATGCCCCCTGCTGGACCCCAATAAAATAATTCTTAAAAAAAAAAAAAAAACACACACACACATTAAAAAAGAGGAAGTAACCCAGATACTCATACTCACTTTTTATGAAGAAAAATGAGTCTTTGGGACCAGCATGTGGTGTGGTGGTTAAGGAGCTAGACTCCCACATGACCAAATGTGGTTTGAGTCCCAGACCCAGTGAGCACACGTGCCCTATAGCAAAATTTAATAAAAATAATAATAATAAATAAAATTTAAAAAGAAAAATGGTCTTTTTAGTTTATACATGTTTATGAATGCTGATTTTCTTTTTTAACAGTACAACTTTGCCAGGGTCAGATCAATCACATTCTTTTGCTTATATTTGGGGTTTAGGATGTCATATATGGTAGGAATGCAGAAGGGCTATATTTAGTTGAAAATGCATGTTATTCAAACTGGAAAATTTGCCTAGTTTATTATAATGGTCCATCCTTTCTACCAGCCCTAAGTTCATATAGAGGAAGTTAAGTAAAATGTTTGCTTTTTCCTCCACCCTGTGGGAAATCCATTTACAGTGATTTATGTCTGTCATTAAACCTCACCACGTCCATATGACTTAGGCCATTTGGAGTTAAGCAGAAGGGCCCTTTTCCTGTCTGGCTGACAGTTCAAGTTCCCAGGCAGCCTCAGTAAACTGAGAGATAGAGCACAGTGATTCGCCAAGACTACCTTATGACTCAGGCAAATCCCAAAATAGAAATGAGAAACTGTTTTGATCTTGCAGGCAATAATTTAGAGAGGGGAAAAAAAAACTTTAAAAAACTTTACAAAATAACTTAAAAGGCTTTGCCAAGAAAAAAAGCTAAAGTGAATCAACTAATATGAAGCGAATTTGAATTCACTGCAATCAGATTTCAGGCACTTTTTCATTTTGAGTTTATGATTAATCTCGTTCATGAACAAGAGAGACAGAGATATAGGACCCTCCAACATAGTCTCAGCACTACAAACCCACCCTCAGCCAGTGCTGGATCATGGACACGTATGTGCCTGGCATATTCAGGAAGGCCTTGGGATGCAAACCTAGAACCCTCACAGGTGGGTCAATCTTGCAGAGTGTTGTGTTTTACCACAAATGCCATTCATTGTCTGGCCCCCTAGTCTATATCTTAAAGCAGTTTGCTGACAGCATTCAATTCCTTCAGTTTATTTAGTAAGATACATTGCTTTGTTTTTGCAGTTACTCGCCTATTTCCACAAGCTTCTGATCCTCTGACTCCTTTGGTACAGACTGGGAATTAACTCCACAAAGTCTGGAGTTAATTTATTAACTGCATTTATTTATTTAAGTTTATTCACACAAAAATGCCAAAAAGTTTAAATTTAACAATTCTAACATAATAGGGATCTTTTTAATAAAAAAAAAGAATTACTTTAATTTTATTTATTCATTTATTTATTTTAATTTGACCAGAGAGAGACACAGAGAGAGAAAGAGGGAAAGTGAGACAGCAGGCTACCAGGCGGGACTCAAACTGTGGTCAACTATGTTGGAGGCCAGTGCCTTATAGCCACCACGCCACCTGCTGGTCCAATAGGAATCTTTTTAACACTTATTTTACAAACATTTTTGAGAAACTGCTACATGCTAGATACAGTTTTATATGCTAGGAATTCATCTGTGAACAAAATATTTGTAATCTTTGTTTTCATGTCTTGGGAGAAGCAGATGATAAATATATAAAATGTCAGGTAGTCTTTTTTTTAATAATTAGTTATTTAATTTTATTTATTCATGCATTTATTTTAATTTGACCACACACACACACCTACACACAGGAAGTGAGAAAGCAAGTCACCAGGTCTGGGACTCAAACCATGGTTGGCCATGTGAGAGTGTCCAGCATCTTAACCACCATGCGACCTGCTGGTTCCATAACATCAGGTAGTCTTAAATGTTTAGAAAAACAAAGAAACAGGATAAGAGAGAAATGGTGGTATTTCCCTTGGTAAAGAAAGTTTATTTTCGGGACCAGCAGATGGTGTAATGGTTATGTCACTGGACTTCCATGTAGTCAACCACAGTTCTAGTCCCAGACCCAGAGGCTTAAACTCAAGCTGGGTTCATGTGTGTGCATGCCCAAAGTCCTGAGAGGAGAATAGAAGAAAAGGGATTGTGGCATGGTCATATCTCCCAAACGATGATTTTTCGCTTCCTGGCTCTGTTTGTCTCTCTCTGTCTCTCCAGCAAGTGCACATGCTCTATAGGAAAAATCACTAAATAAATAAATAAAGTTTATTTTCAGAAAACCAGTACAATATTTCTACAGGCAAAAGACTGAAGGGGGTGGTCTATGGCAATACCACCCAGAACAGGCCAATCTTATCTCAGGAGCTAAGCAAGGTTGGCCCTAGATAGTAAGGATGGGATATCTTGGATGGGAGACTGCCTGGGAATACTGGGTGTTGTAGTCTTTAAAAAAGACTGAAGAAGGCCAGCAGATGTTGTAGTAGTTATGTTGTTGGACTTCCACGTGGCTGACCACAGTTTGAGTCCCAGATCTGATGGCTTGAAAATCATGCCAGGCACATGTGCATATGTGCCCAAGATCCCAGGAGGAGAATGGAGGAAAGGGATTGTGGCATGGCCACACACACCCCCATACCCCTGCTGAGATTTCTCATTTTCCTTCCTCCTGTCTCTGTCTCTCTCTCTCTGGCGAGTGCTAGCACCCTATGGTGAAAATCTCTAGAAAAAAAAAAAATACTAAAGAGTTGGGGCCAGCAGGTGGGAGACACTGAACTCCCACATAGCCAACTGTGATTCAAGTCCCAGACTGGCAGCTTGCTTTCTCACTTTCCCTCTCTCTTTCTCTCTTTGTCTCTCTCTGGTGAGTGCACATGCCCTATAGCAAATTTAATAATAAACTTAAATGTTTAAAAGGACTGGAGGGGAAAATTTCTTCACAGTTTTCCTTCTGGGTCCTTTTTTTTTTTCTCTCTCTCTCTCTTTTAAGAATTATTTAACTTTATTTATCTATTTATTTATTTATTTTAATTTAACCAGAGAGATATTATGAGAGAAAGTGAGAAAGCAAGCTGCCAGATCTAGGACTTGAACCATGGTCAGCCATGTGGGAGTCCAGCACCCTTAACCACCATGCCACTGGACAGTTTCCCTTTGTTTTCCCTTATACCACTTCAAAAGATATATGATACGCATTTTGTTTCATTACTTAAAAAATATAGCCTTTAGAAACTAACAGATGGTGGAATGATTATGATGCTAGACTCCCATGTAGTTGACTGCAGTTTGAATCCTGGACCTGGAGGCTTGAAACTCACACCAGGGGTGTGTGTGTACATGCCCAAAATCTCGAGAGGGGAAGGGATTGCAGTGTGGCCATCTCCTCATTGGGTAATTTCTTGCTTTCTGCCTTTCTGTCTTTTTTTTATTTACATTTAATCAGTGTACTTCTGTACAGCATACAAAATGGTTTTTCCGGGGATCAGTAGATGGTGTAATGGTTACATCTCTGAACTCCCACATAGTCTACCACAGTTCAAATCCTGGACCTGGCAGCTTAAAACTCATGCAGGCCACATGTGCACCGCGTGCCCAAAATCCTGAGAGGAGAACGAAGGAGAAGGGATTGCAGCGTGGCCATCCTCTCTGGAGGGTGATTTCTCACTTTCTGTCTCTGTTTCTTTCTGTCTCTCCAGCGAGTGCACGCACTCGCTAGCAAAAGCCTCTCCAAAAAAAGAAAAAAATATTTTTTCTGAGCAT